TGGGATTGTCTCTGATAGGCCTGGACTCTGGATCTTTTGGAGCAGGATTGGACCCTGGATTTGCTAGAGCAGGGGACTACAGGGCCAGCATGGAGAGTGCAGAGGCAAGGACCAGCCTAGCACTAAGCAGGCCTAGAATCTGTGTCCATAAGTACCAGTGGGGTACTTGAGGCCAGGGGTGCTGACTTGGCAGCGGGCCTGAAGCCTGGGGACGTGTTGGCCAAGTCAACTCTGGGTTGGTCTGAAACCTGGAGCTGACTTGTAGCTAGGCATGCAGAGGCTGACCTGGTACTGAGTAATCTTGGAGTTTGTATACACAGGGGCCAACATGGAGGCTGGCTTGCAGGTACCAGCATGATGACTAGGATTGGAGGTTTGTCTGTTCCTGGGGCTGGCCTGGAGCCTGAGTCTGTGGGGAATGGCCTGGCACTACAGTGGATCTGAAGCCCAGGACCACTGGGGTCAGTCCTGGAGCGTGGGGCCACTGTAGTTAACCTGGTGGTAGGGTGATCCAGAGTGCAAGTCTGTTTTGGCATGCCTGGAGCCTAAGATTGTGGGATTTGGCCTAGTGTTGGGGTGGGCTTAGAAGCTTAGTCTGTGGGTACTGCCCTGGGGTCTGGTTTGTGGAGGCATGCCCAGTGCTGGGTTTTACTTGGGTCAGCCCACTGTTGGGGTCCAAGGCAGAGTCCTGTGATCACTTCCCCCTTCTCCCCCAAGCAGAGGGTATCTCTCTGCACACTGTGCTGCCTGGGTATGCAAGAAGAGTGATGTGGGTATTATAAAACTGTCCTCCCTACGTTCCTTAATGCATCTTTTTAATTTTTGTGCTACATCCAGGTTTTGTAATAGTTCACCGGGTTTCCTTAGCTTTTGTGAAGGTATTTTCATGTGTGGAGTGTTGTTCAAATTGATGTTTCCGTAGGGGAACAAACACTGAAAAGTCCTATTCCACCATCTTACTGATGTCCCCATAATTTTCAAAAGGTAATGTGAATAAAAAATGTTTCAGATATCTGCAACAAATGAAATTGGTATAAAAATGTGTGCAATGCACACTGTTGAGGAAGTATTATTGATACAACTGTGGCTTGTTTATTTTCACAGTAGAAAGAAATGCTAAATTTCAGTTAGAGGTTAATGAAAATAGCAACATAACTTCTTTCCTCCTCCCAGTTCACAGATCTCCTTGAATTCTATTTACTGGTCTCTCAGGATTCCATAGACCCAGGGTTAAAGAACCATGGTATCTGAGTGAAGCAAGCAGAATCAGGCATGCCTGTTTTCCCGGAAGAAGGCAGCCCTACTTAGCTCTACCAATTTGTTGCCCAGGAGGAATGCCAGCTCACTGGTGTCAGATTTTCTCTTTCCAGAGAAATGGGAAATCTCTATTTTAACATGCTGGTAAATAAATTCAAAAACAGAAAAAAAAAACCCCAACCACTTTGCAGGTCATACGCAGCATCTCTGTGGGCTCTATATGGACAAGGAACTAACAATTGTACCTCCTCTTAGTATTATTTTCTTAGGCTTTCTAAACTCCTTTGAATTTCCCCTCCTCCTACTTGGCTTTGTAATGCAACTGCTTTTGGGAGGCTAGAGATTCATAACTAATAAGGAGTTAAATAGGCTATGTACAACTAGATCAAGGATTATCTTGTACTATAACAGAAAGATAACTATAAATCATTAATTTTTAAAGAGTAAAGCAGGGCGGAAAAAATCTTTTCATCAATATCAACCATAAAATATCAAAAAGCCTAAAGTAACTTCAATCTAATAAGCATATGTGAGAACCTATTCTGTGCTAGATAATACGTGGTAAAATAAATTACAGGTACTATACTGTTTAAAAAAATATTTTTGCCACTGATGAATGAAAACCTGAATCATAGTTTAGTTTTGCCTGTTTTCATCACATTGAGCTTTGAAGTTCCCTTGTGGTGTTTCAAGTTTAGAGGTAACAATGTTAAGAGAAAATATTTCTATGAATGTTCTTTCAAATGTCTGAGGGTATACATGTGCAAGAATTTCTCTAAGGAAAATATCTAGGGGTGAAATCGCCGAGACAAAGGCATTTGCTTTTTTTGTTGTTGTTAGCTAGATTATGCAAAATGTTTCTCAATGCAGTTGCACGAACTTGCATTTCCACCAGCAGTGTATGAGGATTTTAATCTTTCTACATCTGCGCAAATATACGGTACAGTCTTTTTTAAATTTTTACAATTTAATGGTGTATAAGTGTATTTTATGGGGTCTTTGGCATTTTCTTGTGGACTAATGAGAGAATTTTGTCATATATTTATTGACTTTTTGAATTTTTCTATTGAATTGTTTGTTGAAGTCTATAGCGGATGCTATCATGTGCCTCCCAGATACCCCTCTCCAGGACAGAAGCACTCATTGTCAAGCTACTGAGAGTGTTGGCAACAGATAGATCTCAGCTGAATTTCTCCCCAAGATAGGGCTTACCAAAATGTACATACCTTTCTCAGGGTCGGCCTGCATCCAATGGCTGTTTGATGTGAGTATATAAAGGCCCTGACCTCCATCCCAATTCAGGACGGCTTTGAAGGGCCATTCTAGCTCCAGAAGCCCCATAGGATGGTCTGAGGTCTTTGCTGTGACTGCATTGCAGTTCTTCCTTTCTTTGTGTCCTGTGCTGCTTCTTCCACTTCCCCATAGGTTCCGATTCTGAGATTGTGTCCCAATACATTTTTTATGTTATTTCTAAAATCACTACATTTCTGGCCGGGCGCAGTGACTCATACCTGTAATCCCAGCACTTTGGGAGGCCGAGGCAGGCAGATCGCTTGCGGTCAGGAGGTCAAGATCAGTCCGGCCAACATGGTAAAACCCCGTCTCTACTAATAATACAAAAGTTAGCCAAGTGTGGTGGCTTGCATCTGTAATTTCAGTTACACAGGAGGCTGAGGCAGGAGAATCACCCGAACCCGGGAGGCGGAGACTGCAGTGAGCTTTGATTGTGCCACTGTACTCCAGCCTGCACGAGAGTGAGACTTTGTCTCAGACAAAAAAAAAAAAAAGTATTAAATCACTACATTTCTTTCAAATTTAGATCTTAATTCATCCTGTAATTAATTTTTGTATGTGATATGATAGAGGTCTTGTATCATTTTTTTCCTACATGGATGACCAGTTGTCCCAGCATTGTTCATTGGAATACCCACCCCTTCCCTAATAATATGCGATACCATTTCTATTACATTAAGTAACACAAGTGTCAATTTTGGGGCCTCCATTTTTGTTCTAATACTACACACACAGTTACTTATAATAGCTTTATAATTAGGCTTGATACCTGGTGGAGAAAATCTCATGAGTATCAGTTTTCTTCTTTAAACCATTAATTGAGTGGGTTGTATTTTTGTAATGTTAAATCAACTTTGCATTCATAGAATGAACTCACCTTGATCATAATATATTATCCTTTACATACATTGCTATACATTTCTGAATTCGGTTTGATAACATTTAGACCACGAATAAGAATGGCCTGTATTTTTTTTTTTTTGTTTATGAATTGTCCTTGCAAGGTTTGAGGATCAAAGTTTCATTGGTCTCATAAAATTAATATAAGTGTGTAACAAACCTGCACGTTGTGCACATGTACCCTAGAATTTAACGAATAAAAAAGAAAAAAAAAAAGGAGGTAGGGGCCACAGTGGCTCACTCCTGTAATCCCAGCACTTTGGGAGGCTGAGGCGGGCAGATCACCTGAGGTCAGGAGTTCAAGACCAGCCTGACCAACATGGTGAAACCTCATCTCTGCTAAAAATACAAAATTAGCTGGGCATGGTAGTGTGCACCTGTAATCCCAGCTACTCAGGAGGCTGAGGCAGGAGAATCACTTGAACCCAGGAGGCGGAGTTTGCAGTGAGCCAATATCGCACCATTGCGTTCCAGCCTGGGCAACAAAAGTGAAACTACGTCTCAAAAAAAAAAAAAGGAGGTGGGTTATGTAGAAAAACTGGGATGACAGTATATGACTTGGTGGCAAGAAGCCAGGCAAAGCAGAAAATGAAACTAAAAAGGTCCGGTATATAAAATGCAGTGTGGTTTGATACAATGGGAGACAGGGTACTGGGTTGAAGCCTGGTTTTACATCATTCCTCTTCCCTTAGATAGTACCTTGTCCATAGGTCAGTCACAGCACTTCTAAAGTGGACTAATTTATATGCTGTGTCTCTCTTCTTCTGCTAGGTTGTAAACTTGCTGAGCACAGGAAACATGCATGTGAGTCTTTGGATTCCTGGTCTTTAACAGATATTCCTGCACATGGCTGATAAATGTTGATTAACTGAGTTAAGCAGTATAATCTTGAGATCATTATCTGTGGAATGGTTTTGCAGAAGTTCCATGAGTTAATAAAATGTTGAAAATACCAAAATTTGTCCCTAAAACAAGGATCTTGAGCAGTCCCTAGAATAAAATGTTTGGAATTTATCCACAAGAGTTAATTAAGCTGCATATGGTTCTTGTTGTTGTTTTGTTCTGTTTTGTTTTTTACTAAAGTTGTCCTTTTTCTTAAGCATTTAAGAAACTGTATCACAGCTTCTCCATTGAAGTCATGCATCTGATGTTTAGACTCTGCTGATAACCTCACTGCGTTGCCTTTACAATGTGTAGGATAAAAGGATGCACCCCATGGGTGTCTGTTACTGGTTCTGTTAATAATTGTTTTCCTTTTCTCATTATAGTTTGATATTTTAGAAGCCAAATGCTGTTCCACATTCTATTAGCCCCTTGCACTGGATTGGGACTGAGGTTTAGAACAAAGAGAAAGTAAAAATGGAAAAAACATGTAAGAGTGAAATGGCACAACTAGGATAATAACTTTAGCTCAACTCACCTGCTGACACCTGGAAATTAAGGAGCAATCACTTACGCAGACAGATCAAAGGAAAGGTGCGAGGAGCCAGGGACAGGGCAGTCTGCCCCAGGTGCTGGTCAGTTCCTTTCTCATGGGTGTTGTCAGTTACCAGAGTATAAGTCAGCCATTGTTGCAAAATGTACAACCACAAAATTTCAGTGTCATACAACACTAAGGTGTTGATTTCATTCACATGTGGCTGATATAGGCTGGGCTTGGCTGGACAGCTATAAGCTGCTGATTGGACCTAAGTCTGCCTGAGGCTTCATCCTTCTTCAATTAAACACTTTCCAGGAGAAACTTAACTCATGGCAATGTGGAGAAACAAGAGAGGCTGCACAACCAGGCAAGCCCTGACCACACGGCCAAGCCTAAACTCAAGGAGGTAGTGAAGCATATTTTTTCCACAAAAGTGTCAGAGAAGGAAGTAAATATTTTGGAATGACTAATGTCCATAGGCAGAGGCCTAGTCTGAAGCATTTCTATAATAATGGAGATAATTGTGCTAAAGAAGTCAAGGGTAGGTGATTCTTGTATTTCACAAGTCCTGGGTATTTTTACTGGGAAATGTTGCTGATAGGACAATGAATTGATACTATCTTTCTAGGGCATGTTTGCAATATATATTAGCAGTTTCTTACCTATTGACTTCTAAGAATTTGTCTGAGATGTATAGAAAGATTTTTATATAAAGTCATCCATCTCACTTTTATATTAGTGAAATACTGGGGAAAATTACAAGTGTTTGGTTGAATAAAATATGTGACATCCAGATAATGGAATATTTATGCCACATTTCAGTGATGTTATACCAGAATATTTAATGACATGGAACAGTATTGCCAATATTCTTGCTTAATGGGAAAAAAAGCATGTTACAAAACAGCAGGTATTTTGTTTTAAATCATGTATATATGGGTATTCATATTAAGCTTCTGTAGGGATATCAAATAAAATATAATAATAGTTATTTGTAGATGGAGCTAATTTTCATCTGAAATTTATTCTACCTACTATGATCTGAATGTTGATGTTTCCCCGAAAATTGATTTTTTGAACTTAATACCCAATGTAATAATGATATTAAGAAGTGGGGTCTTTGGGGATGAGATTTGTGTCCTAATAAATGAATTTGAAGGGAGTTGCCTTGCCTTCCCACCACATTAAGTTACAGTAAGAAAGCACCATCTTGGAAGTAGAGAGCAAGATCTCACCAGACATTGAATGTATTGTTGTCTTGATCTTGGACTTCCCAGCCTCCAGAAGTATGAGCAATAAATTTCTCTTGTTTATAAATTAAAAAATAAATAAAATAAAATAAAATGAATATGAGACAGTTCCAGACGTTTCTATACATTTTGGATATGTTTGTTTAAGACTGGAATTATTTATTCCTTGAATACCTCAGAGTTTTTTTTTTTTTTTTTTTTTTGGCCAGAATAATTTAATCTACTAGTTAAACGTTTTGGATATTTTATTCTTTCTTGAGTTAATTTTAATGTTACATTTCTCCTGGTGATTTGCTGGTTTCACTACAATTTAAAATTTACTAGCATAAAGCTGTTAATAATTGCTTCACTTATTCTACAATTTCTTTTGAAATTTTTCAAACCTACAGAAAAGTTGAAAGAATATTGCAATGAACACCCACATACCTTCATCCAAATTTACCAATGCTCATCACTTTGCCACATGACTCTTATCTATTTATCTATTCACACGCACGCACACACACATACACACACACTTTTAGTTGAACAATTTGAAAGTGAGTAGAATAGAGGTCATGACAATCGACCAATAAATACTTTAGTGTGCATTGTTTAAGAATAAATATATTCTTCTACATAACCATAATACACTATCATAATTGAGACAAAAATAATTCCATAAATTTGCCTACTATAAGGTTGTATTGAAACCTATTCAATTTTCCCTAAAATGTCTTTTATAGTTTTTTTTTCTTTTTTTCCATCTAGGATCTGGTGACGTTTTACACATTACATTTGGTTATATCTCTTTGGTCTGTTTTTTTTTTTTTT